TCCGTGGAAGTGCTGATCGTCGTCGAGCTGGTAGCAGTGTTGGAGGACGATATTGAGGTAGTGGTCATCGTGGTGATTGATGTGCTCCTGGTAGTTGCCGACGAGCTCGACGACTCCGTGGATGTGCTAATCGTGGTCGAGCTGGTCGCCGAGATGCTTGTCTCAGCCGTGGTGGAAGACACTGTGGACGTTGCAGTGGTAGGAGTGGCTGACGTGCTCGACGACTCCGTGGATGTGCTAATCGTGGTCGAGCTGGTCGCCGATGTGCTGCTCGCAGTCGTGGAGGAAGACTCTGTGGACGTTGCAGTGGTAGAAGTGGCTGACGTGCTCGACGACTCCGTGGATGTGCTAATCGTGGTCGAGCTGGTCACCGATGTGCTGCTCGCAGTCGTGGTGGAAGACACTGTGAACGTTGCAGTGGTAGAAGTCGCTGACGTGCTCGACGACTCCGTGGATGTACTAATCGTGGTCGAGCTGGTCGCCGATATGCTGCTCGCAGTCGTGGTGGAAGACACTGTGAGAGTTGTAGTGGCGGTCGTCGCCGACGTGCTCGATGACTCCGTCGGTGTGGTGATCGTCGTTGAGCTGGTAGCCGTTGTCGAGCTGGTCGCCGATATGCTGATCGAAGTTGAGGTGGTGGTCGTCACCGTCGTGCTCGACGTCTCTGTAGATGTGCTGACGGAAAAGGTGCTGCTCGCTGTAGTCGACGAAGCCGTCCTCGTCGTGTAGCTGGTCCTTGATGTGCTGATCGAGGATGTCTCGGAGGTAAGCGACAGAGTGCTGGTTTTGGTGATCGTGATTGAACTGCTCTCCGTCATAGAGCTCGACGACGTGCTGCTGCCAGTAGTGGATGAGAGGGTGCTGGTGGATGACATCGTTGTTGAGCTGGTCTCGGTTGTGCTGGATTGTGACGAGGTGCTACTTTCAGTTGTCGTGGTCTTGCTCGTCAAGCTGATGGTGCTGGTCCATGTCGTCGAGGTCAGGGTCGAGGTGCTCGTGACGCTCGATGTGCTTGACGCACTCGTGCTTGTGAGCGTGAAGGTCGACGTCTCAGAAGACGTGGTGTCCGTGGCGGTCGTCGTCGTGGTCGTGCAGACGGGCGTCTCCTCCTGTGCTGCGACGAGGCTGTACGGCGCCGGGCAACCTGTGTCCAAGTCCCACGCATCGCTGAACGGCTCCACGACGCCGACTGTCATCTCTACGCCATTCGTGTCGACGGGAAGGACTACAACGGCAACAGTGTCTGACGTTGTCTGTACGCAGGAGAGATGTACAGTGTACTTGCCTGGATCGCAGCAGGAGGTAGCTGGAAAGTTGTCGACCACAGGCACAACTGCAAGGACACGGCCGACCCGAACACCTTCGTTGTCAGCGAAGTACACGCGGTATTCTGAAATCGGACTTTCATCGATGATACCCTCCATCTGATTGGGGCCAAAACGCAGCACTCCCGTGTACCAGCCTGGGCGGGTGTCCTCGTCTGGGGTCATCGCGATGATGCTGCAGACCTTGCACTGGACGTACGGGTACGCCGATAGAGCTGTAGGCGGCAGCGAAGCATCAGTATTATCAACTGGGCACGTCAATAAAGGCCCACCAGTGTCGGTGATGCAAGGGCTGGTCAACGCAGAGGCTGCGCACGACTTTCCAGCAGCGACCTCGTCGCAGCCGAAGGTGGGGACCAACTTGCAGCCTGGGCATGGGACAGCAACTGTGGTCGAGCTCACCGTGCTGGTATCCGTAACAGTGTTCGTTGTAGGAGAAATCGAGCTGGTCAAGGACGCACTGGTCGTGTGGGTACGCGAGCCGCCGGATGTGGTCGTTCTGACCTGTGTCTGGCTGGTGATCGCCGTGGCAGTGCTCGTCACCGACGTCGACGTCAGAGTGCTCGTGCCCGTAGACGCAAACGTCGTGCTGATCAAGGCCGTGGCGCTCGAGACCGTGGTGTTCGAGCCCGAGGTGGTGGAGACTCGGGTAGGCGACCCCGTAGTGCTGGACTGCGTGGTGCTCGAGCCGGTTGAGGACGACCGCGTGGTGGAGGTGCTCGTCGGCGTGGCCTTCGCCGAGGTTTTCGACGTCGTCGAAGCCGTGGAAGAAGTGAGGATTGCAGACATCGACGTCGTGCTCACCGACTCTGTGGTGACAGTGATCAAAGTCACAGTGGACGACTGGGTTGTCTTGGTCCCGGTCGTCATCGTGACCGAGCTCCGCGTGGAACTCTCCGAGGCCGTCGCGGATGTCACGACCGTCGCGGTCGACGTAGTGCACAGCATTACGTCCATCTGCCCCGCCATAACATTCTCCGCCGTGGGGCATGTGTTGTTAATGAGAGTCCCAGTGGTGAAGGTGTACGTGCTCGCTGTCATGCTGCTCGTCGTGTCAGAGGTGCTCGAGGAGCCAGTACCAGAGGTGGACGTGGAGGATGCGGTGGCGGAGGACGCGGTTAGGCTTGAGCTGCCGGTCGTGGTCACGCTCGCGGAGGTCCTGCTCCCACTGCTGGCCGTGCCGGGCGTCACGGAGCTGGCGGAGGTCACGGAGGAGGCGGAGGTCTCTGTGGTGGAGGTCTCCGTGGAGGTCTCGATCAACAGGCGGCGCCACTCTGCGCTCCCGAGGTCCGGCGGCACGGCGGCGCCTCCCCCACAAGCGCAGCACGCCTCGCTGGCGGGGGGCGTGGCTCCAGCGACCCTCGACGCGAAGCTCCCGTTGGCGTCGGTCCAGCCGGGGCCGCGCCCCCCGCTCGGCGTGCAGAGGCGGCCCCGGGAGTAGTCGGCGCAGGCGGCGCCGAGCAGGTCCGCCCAGGCAGCTGGGCTGTCGCGGCACGCCCTCAGGGAGGCGGCTGGCCTCGCCAGCGTGGACACCAGGATCAGCGCAAATACCGCTCCCGTGCCCAGCCAGCTCCTGCCGAACCATGCCGTGCAAGACGGCCGCCAGCCTGCCCTGCGGCCGCTGATCATAGCCCAGCTGCGGCTGCCACAGAAAGCCCACTTCCTGTGATGCGCAGTCGGAAAAGGGAGCTGCGGGCACAGGAGGAGGAGGTGGCGGGTGAAAAGGAGGATGAGCGGGAGGAAAGAGGATGAGTACGAACAGCAGCAGCAGGAACTGAAGCGGAAGGATCGGGAGGGAAAGGAGGACCAGGGAAATGCGGAGGGGAAATGAGGGGGGCGACAACGATGAAGAAATATTCGGATTCAGAAAAAGTGGCCCGCGCTGGGTCGAGACGAACAGCAATTAGACGAACAGCAATTGCAGGAACTGGAGTAGAAGGAGCGGGAGGAACAAGAAGACCGGCGGAAAGCGGAGGACCACAATGGCGCAAGACCCAAATTCAGAAAAGTGGCCCACGCTGGGGCGAGAGCGCCATTCTGAAGACGGGAGCAACACGCCGATCCGAGAATGAGGCCAACGCTGCAGCGGAAGCACCAATATGAAACACCGAAAACAACGGGATTGTAACACGCCATGAGAAAATAACAAACGTTGGAATCCTGACCTTCTGGACAACTTCAGGGGAGGAGGGATACTATTATTCATATGGTTCAACTGTGGAAGGGGGGAGAGAGGAAAACGAGGAGGGGGGTGCAGGGAGAGGGGACGCGAGGGTGAATGCTACAGGCTATAGAGAAGGCGGAGGAGGGAGAAGGAGGAGGGATGAGGTTGAGGATGCAACGCTGGATTCGGCACTGGGCGATTCTCTAGAGGGAGTAAGAGGGAGGAGGGAGAGGCGGGTAGAGGAGGGAGAGGTGGGAGGAGAAGGACGAGGATAATGAGGAAATGAGCGGGAGGGGGAGACGAGGGAGAGGAGGGAGGAAGGGAGGACAGAGTGCAGGGGTGGGACGAAGGATGACGAGGAGGGGGCAGCTGAGACAGTTGCATCCGAGTGACACTGACATCGGAAAATTCGCCCTCCGTACCCTCGGGGATCTACTGACCCGGGACAATCCAGACCAGGATCAGTTGGGCTTTGCAGGTCCCTGCAGGATCCTGCAGGATCCTGCACCCAAGCCCGGGTCAATGCACCCCTGGCTCTGCAGGATCCTGCAAAATCCGCCGCTCCGACTGACCCCCGTTTGTGTTGACTCACGTCCCTTGAGCCCCGATGCCCCCTCTCCTGGGGAGCGCCGCGTAGGAAGGAGGGAGGGAGAGGGAAGAGTCCACAGGGCGGAGGAGAGCACGAGCACGAGGCAGACCCACACATCCGATGCACTCACTGATTCCGCACGGGATCCCTTGAAGCCCCGACCCTTTCCCCACGGTTGGTGTTCCATCGACAATCAATGTTTGGCGCTCCCGAGGCCCAGCCAGGGCCCCTCAGAGGCCGAAGATGGCCCAAACTGTCGTCGTGATTTTTGTTTGGCAATTTTTGTTAGGGAGGGCAGGTGACAGCGACGATGACGTCGATCACGAGCGGCGAACACATCCGCATCCGCGCCCTCGCGGTCTGGACTCTGGAGCGCGATCCCGCGAATGTGCGGTCGCACGGAGACGCGCTGCGCAGGGCACCCGCGAAAAAAAAACGGCCCGTGTTCACGGGGTCGCGGCCCACGGGCCCGGCCCGCGAGGCCGTGGATACGGATCTGTCTCTCGCCCGCGCCTCGACGCCGAAAGCGGCCGAAAACTGTTCGTCGTGATCTTCTGTTTCGGCGCGAGCATGTGTGGTTTTTGGGGCTATATGACTCGTGTCTCCGGCGGCCGTTCAGGATCTAGGCAACCCCAGAACGCTTTCGGCAAGGGCCACCTGCTGGAACGCATCCCGAGAGAGGGAGCCCGTCCAGAATCAACGCGAACGGCAACAGAAACACCTTGTGTCGCGCTTTTTGCTTTACGACTTTTGCCGGGGAGGGCGGGCGACGCACCCGACAATAGCGACGACGACGGCGACGACGAGGCCGAGGCCGAGGCCGAGGCCGAGGACGAGGCCGAGGACGCCGACGACGACGACGACAGCGGCGGCGGCGGCGACGCCGACGACGAATGCGAGGACGACGACGAGGGCGGCGCGCCTCGCGGGGGCGTCCGGAGCGGGCCCGCACGTCCACGAGGCGCCCGCCGCGGGGCGCTGCCCGGGGCAGGCCAGGAGGTCGCCCAGGCTGGAGACCTCGGCGCGCGGAGCACGGGCGGAGCTGGCCGTGGAGGGCGGCGGCGCGAGGGCAGGAGCAGGGCGGAACCTAAGCGGTGTTTTTCGTTGTCGTTCCTGCTTTCGTTGTCCCTCGCTCTTGCCTCGAGTCCGCGTGCACCGCAAAAAACGAAATCGAAGCAGAAAGGGCCCACGAAATCGCCGAAAACACGGTCAAGGTCCAGCCCTGGGAAGGAGGGGTGGCAAGGGAACTGTGGACCTCCTCTGCAAGCCAATGAGAGGGACCGAAAAGACCACAGTCGGCTGAAACAGCGGGGGCGTTGTGCTGGGCAGCCTCCCGCGCCTGGATGCGTGACAGCTGACGAAGGAAGAAGAGGGAGGAGACAGGAAAAAGGAGGAGGAGGAAGGGGGGGAAGGGGGGGAGGGAGGAGGGGCCGAGGAGAGAGGGGAAGGGGGAGGAGGGCGGAGGGACGGCGAGAGGTGAGATATTGGATCGGGTGGACAGTGGGGGGGGGCGCGGGCCCACACGAGATACTGGCGTCTCGCTTTTTCGGCGCAGGGCATTTTGGCCAAATTTCGGGCCGCGGGGCCCGCACATATCGATCCGTCTTGAAACATGGCGCAGACCAATTGTGTCGAGAGTTCTGGTCGCTATCTCTCGACGTGTTGCATTCTGGCGCGCCGTCGGATCTCAGGGGAGGAAGGGGGGAGGGGAAAGACAAGCCAGGCGCTCTCGCGCCACATCTGCCATCCCGTCCCACTGTGTTGATTTCTTTTTCTGTTTACGGACGCGTGTCCTAGCGACGGAGCTCCGAAGAAAACAATCGCGCCATGCGCAACATAAGAAAGGAGGAGCTGGGCAGGAACTAGACAAATAAATGTAACAGGTGGTGTCGGAAAAGGCGAAGCGTTTCCTGAAGGCGGGATGCGCGAAATGAGCAGTGACTAGGGTGAGACGAAGGCGGGCGCGCTAGAACGCTGCCCTGGGGCCCAAACGGCGGCGGATGCAAAGAAGCAAGCGCAGGCGAGGCGAGGGGTTAAAGATGCACGGTGGGTCCCTTTCGAGAATGGAATTCAAACAGGTCCGTTGTGAACTCGCTGCCAATGGACCATTGAAATGCAGCAGGTGGTGCCCGACGGACCGAATTTGTATGAACACGCAGATTCCAGTGGCGCTATAGTGACCGCGCGCAGGACAGATGGAATGCTTTCCTGACCGCGCAATCATAAACAAAACAATGCCAAGCCTGCTGCGAGCGAGAGATCACTGAAGGGGCACAACTACATGGCTGCTGCTTAACTTACACAGTTAACTACAGAAGAGCTCACGCGTCTGCTCGACTGCGTGATTGCTCTCGCCCATGCCCACAATCTGGACGATACGGAGGTCGACCTTGCGACGCTGTCAGAAGGGACGCTCATCACTGTTGGGCGAACGAGATGCGCTATAAGCTGGGGGCGGCCTTCTGCTTCTCGTCGCCAAACTTGGCCGCATCATGGTCATAATTGGTACGGCCGTCCATCACTTTGGGGATAAACTCCCGGGCCATGCTGCCCTTGGCTACGGGGTCGGCCCGCGCGTCCCGAGTATCGCACCAGAGGAGGACCTCGATCAGCTCGGTGCGCAGCTGGTCAGCGAACCACCACTCGTGGCCCGCCATGCAGTTCGCGGAGGGAGGCCGCGCCGGGCCCATGAGCAGGGCGCAAGGGCGCGGAAGACGGGGGTGGCGTCGACTACGAGATCTGCAGGGATAGCGTAACCTCCCTCCTCCCACAGCCGTGCGCCATCTCGTGCAACGTGAAGATGTGCGCCTGCAGTCCGTCGGCTGCGCGGCATGCTGCGAGCAGCTCCGGGCCGAACGAGGATCTGCACGCCAGCTTGTGCGATCGGCCCACTGCGTCCAACGGGTGGCACGCCTAGTTGCTGGCGCAGCGGCGCTTGCCGAGGCGCACGTAGACGACTTCCCTAATGCCGCACCCCGTCTCCTTCTCACTCTTGAACATCCCGTCGCCGCGTGCGCTGAGTCGCCCGCGTGCTCCATAGTTGGAAATGTAATGCGCGCCTTCTGCGTGGCCAGAACGGCCGAGTTGAGCTGGCCCACGCGTCGGATGCGCAGCGTGTTCTTGACTCCATGCAGCGCGACGATGCACGCGGCGACGCGGCGCTGGACGAGCAGGCCGCTGCCCCCGGGAGGGAAACAAATGTCTGGGAGCTGACCTCCGGCCAGCTCGTCAGCCTTGGCTTTGGACAGGTCGACGCGCCTGGTCGGCATCATGGCGTCGATGCACTCGCCCTGGTCGAGCGTCGCGGCGCCTTCGGCTCTGCGGTGCTGGTGTACTCCGCAGATGGTGAAATCGTCATAATCACTTTTCATTATGCCGAAAAAGCCCTCGATGTGGCGTCGCGGCAGCAGAACGCAGCGGCGCGCGCGGGCATGCGAGGCCGGCGACGTGGCTGGCCAGCTGCCAGCGCGATTTCAGCAGAAGTGCCGAAATCCACGTAGGATCGTTTTGGGCGTGGTATCCGGCGCAGCTGCATCGCACTGCCAGGCGCCGCGGCCTTGCGATTGTAGCGCCGGGCCCCGTGCGCTCCTCGAGGCGGGAAATCAAGCTCTACGCAGAGGCATCGCGCGTGCTCTTGTGGGGGCGGCGGAAAACGATCGCACGCAAAGGGAATTCCTTCGCGCGCCCCCCGCGTCGGCAGTGCAACCAGACCGTGCGCGAAGGAATTGCGCGAGACTTCGTGGTACACAAAGGCATTGAAGCAACCCCGTTTGGGTTGCGCTCTTCGCGCGCGGCGACAGCTCCGAGCTGGAAAGGATGGGGGGGGGGGGGGCGGGACACGGCAAAGCAGGGGGAGAGGAAACATAACAGGAGGGCGAGAAAGAAGCGAAGGAAGCGACGGAAGGGAGCCTGGATGCGCGCAGGCGAAGCTAACGCTGCGCGCCGAGACAGTTGTTCGTTCGTTCGAATGGCCGTGCGGCAGATGAACAGAAAAAGAATTATTTGCTGCCCATCGAAAGAACTTCTTGGGAATGAGACTCGCGCTCTCTTCCCAACCCCATTTCCCACGCCCCGTTGCGAGCGCGCGACGATTTGTTCTGGCCCGCGGGCAGAGGACTGCCAGCTGCCGGTGAGCGGCCTTTCCACCCGTCACGCGTCCCGAACACATGCGACCAGCTAAGCGCACATGCCACGCAATCCGCCAGCTGCACGCACCGACGCCACCCCGATCCCCGCGCCCGTGCCAGGCGCCCTCTCAACGACGCCCCTTTCCGGCGTAGAACCAATGAAACCCTTCGCGTTTATGCGTTTTTTCATGTTCTGATCGGGCGCGGCGGGGCAGGGCGGAGGGCAAGCAGGGGGGCGGCCGCGTTGGATCCCCCGCCCGCCACCCCACCAGGCGCCCCATGCTTGACCTCGCGCTCCGGGCTCCACCCGGCAGGTTCGGCACCGCGCTCTGGAGCGCGCGTGGCCCAGGCGATCTTCGTGGAGAAAGCTCGGGGCGCGCCCTTGCAGCCTGCGCCAAGCTTTACGCGGCGCAGGCGCGCGGTCCGCTCGCCGTAGCTCTCGTGGCCAGACACATGCCGCAAGATGGTTGCATTGCCGGGCGGCAGGGTGAAGTTGACCTCGCGGGGTGCTCCACCTCGCTCCAGAATTTCGGCGTAGGCGGCGCCTTGCAGGAACGCCTTCTCGACGTCCACGGCGGCGCGCACCCGGCCTGTGCGACGCGCCGCCTGCGAGGACAGCGGGCGCTCTCAGCGGGCGGCCCCAGGGCCACGGCGCCCGCGTCGCGGGCGCCCCTCCGCGACACGCGGCGACAGATGATCCGAACAGACTTGCCGCGCCGCCCCCTGCAGTGCTGCCACTTGAAGACGCGTCCGCATTCCACGGCGTTTCGGGCGCCCTTGAGCGGTTGCCCCGCGAAAGATTTGCACGCGGCCCCGATGGTGACCTCTTCGAGGATGGCCGCTGCGCCCTCCGTCGACGGTCTCGACGCCTGCTCATCGGTCAGAATGTCGGCGTCGCGCTTGATTACCGAGATCTTCAAGGCCGCATGAATGCTACCGACGCAGTCGCCAGACGCTTCCTCTTCCAAGCTCAAGAATGCTTCGCGCTCCCGTGGGTCAAGATACATCTCCGTCCCCCCCGCCCCCCCTTCGCCCCCCTCCTCTCGCGCGGCGTAGTTGTCCGATGAGGCCCCACGCAGGTGATTTGTAGTGGCGCTGCGCGTAGATGCTCCGACGCTGGCGCAGCGTCTCGAGGCACTGGGGCCACCCGCTGGGCATGCGGCCAAGGTCGGACGCGGCGTGCTCGACATTGGCGTAGATAATGCTGACTGTCGACGCTCTCCAGCACCTCGAGCTCCGGGCTGCCAACGTCACCCGTTGGACGTGGCCCGAGAAGTCGCTGTCGGTCTCCTCGGGGATTGCCGACAGGGCTGATGGTGAACCTTCCTCGGCGGCGCTGGCGGCGTCGTCGGGAACGCCGATGGCACAACCATCGAACGAACCGCCTGGGTCTTGTCCAGCGTCTGTTGCCAGCAAGGGCTTGTCACCCAAGATGAGCTGGATGATGCTAGTTTTCTTCCACTGCTCGCCGACAAACTGATGGGTGACGAACTTGACGCCGTTGAGGTATGTCTGCCGGGGCGTCGCTCGGGTTCCGATGGGATGCGCCAGATAGCCAAGCTGCGGACGCAGCCCGGTCAGTCGCCAAAGCGATCTCTGGCCGCGTATCAGACGCGCGGCACGAACGTCTGGCAACTGAAAACATCTGCAGGACACATGAAGCAGAGCTTCGAGGATGTCGGGGCGCTGCCAGGTCGGCGCGGTCATCTGCGCGCCCTTCGCGTCCTCCAAGTGGCCGAAGATCATGGCCCCGGAGCCAGGCACGACGTGCTCCACGCACTCCTCCACGCAGTCCCAGGCCAAGCCTGCTCGCGCCAGGCCGATTCCCATGTCGTCGAAGACGGCACCGATGAAAGCGCGGACGTCACGTCTGCATGCCATCTCGGCTCG